TCAAACCCAGCCCCAGCCAAAAACTGTAAAAAAAGAAAAAAAAATTTAACTTGCATGTTTATTGTAAAAACATGAACAATCTAGGTATTTTTTGAGGCTATCTGAGGTTTTAGCATCTTTTTTTGCCTCATATTTCACACATTTTGATTTTAGCAAATGTATGTTGAGCTCCTATTATGACCCATTCGGTGTTCTAGCCAAGGGGATATGGCAGTCAACAACAGAAAAAAAAAAAAAGACAAGATCTAATACATAAGACAGAGAGGACATTGAGAAAGGGATAAGTGCTAAAAGGAAAATAAAGGGAGTTGGACACTATCATTCAGTGGTTAGAGAGCCAACTCTGCACCACCAGGGGCAGAGAGTTGCAACCTCACCTGGCCCTGATTAACAAAACAAAACAAAAACTAAAAGAAAGGAGGAAAAACAAAGGAGGGGCATATGTTGGGAGTAGTAGGGGTGTTGCAGCTGAGGGTAGCTAGCAGAAGGTTAGTGTTTGGTCAAGATCTGAAAGGTAGAGGAGCAGCCATGAAGATATCTGGTGGATGACTGTTTCAGGCGAGAGAACCTCAAATGCAAAGACCTTGCAGCAGCACAAAGACTAGTCCAGCCGGACAGAGTCCTCAGAGCCAGGGAGAGAATGAGGGGAACATGAGATCAGAGATGTAAGGAGCAGCAGGGACCTTACAGAGACTGCGGCTTTCTTCAGGTGTGATGGGAACGCCCTACAGGAGTACTTCCAGTACTGATCAGAGGAGGAGCGTGAGACAATTTACTTTAACAAGGTCACTCTGGCTGCTGGGTTGAGCACAGAGGGGAGAGACGATAGGGAGAAACAAGGATTCTGGTCAGGAGGATGCTGATGTGCACGTGGTAGCTGGGTCCAAAGTGGTGAGAGTGGAGGGAGTGAGAAGTAGTCAAAATCTGGTTATTTTTTGAGCTGTGTTGAGACATTGGATGTATAGGCTATACGAGAGATAGGGAGAGATGGATTACTATAAGATGTTTGTCCCGAGAAACTCGGAAAGATATTTTGATATTAATTGAAATTCAAAAGCTGTGGAAAGAGCTTTGGAAGATTAATTTTTCAATTTTTGACATGTTAGATTAGGCAATTGACTATGTGAGCCTGGAGTTAAAGAAGATGGTCTGGGTTGCAGTTCTAAATTTGGAATCTATCAGTATACAGTTATATCTAAGCCAGGAGACAAAGACATCACTAAACCAATTGAGATGTATGCTCTTTAACACTTTTAAGTCAAAATGCAGGAGATGAAGAGAAGTAAGCAGAAGGAAACTTAATAGAGGGCCCAGAGTCAAAGATAAAACCAAGAGAGTGTGGCGTCCCGGACGGCAGGTGCTGAGGGTAATTTGCGGAGGAGGGTAATCCTCAACTCGTGTTGAAATCCAAGCCAGAGAAGCAACTTAGGATTTAGCAACCTGGAGATTGGGTTTGATCTTGATAAGAGCAGAGTTTCTGTGGAGTAGAGGAGTGACAGCCTACCTACAGTGGCTTCCGAAAAGAGCAGGAGAGAGACTGGAATTGTTCTACGAGACACCTATTGCAAATTTTGCTTTCGAGGGAGGGTAGGAGATGGGGCAAGACCTGTAGTGGTAAGAGAATCCTGAGATTTGGGGGGTTGTTTCATGGTAGAATTAATAACATATTTATAGGCTATTCTTTCTGTATGTATCTGGGGGTTAGGTGCCTAAATATTGGCAGAGATCTATAGTGGTAGGAGTTTGGATTGAAAGTAAAGACTATTTGAACAGATCGTTTTTGGTTTATGGGTCTTTGGGAAATGGCAGCGCTATTCACGGGGCAACTTGAGACTGCTAGTATCACAGGAGAAGGGCGGGCATGTGCAGAGAGGGTGGTGCAGCAGAAGCAGCAGCATTTGCACCAAGCACTGGCCATTTGCAGCTTGTTCAGGGTTTTGCTCAGCCCTCCACGTGTCTGTGCAAGTTCTTCCCCACACTACGCAAGTTTACTCCAGGAGTGTCCATGCTGCAGCCTGTGGGCTGCATGCAGATTATTTAAGGACTGTTTTCTTTAACTGTGTCTGGGATGCTGAGAAGAGTATGCATGAACCTTTTCTTTTGCTTATCTGCTTTTGTTAGTGTTTGCGTATTTCACATGTGGCCCAACACACCTCTGTCTAAATCTACCAATGTGCGGCAGAAAAGAATAAAAGATTGGACATGCCTGCTAGGGGTAACCTTACCCCGCAGGATTTTAAAAGAGACTTTTTCTTTCATGTTTGCCTCATCTCGGTGGGGGAGTAATGTCCAATGGATTTCCAGACAATTGATTGGAGGCCATAGGCACGCATTGGATGCTGTGGAAACCAAGCACACCTTCTGTGGGACTAAGATGGTGGTTTATGTTCATTAATGTATCTCTGTGACTCTGTCTTCTGGGAACTCTGGCAACCAGTAATGGAGGTGTTCTGATGAGTCAAGTAATCTATCAACAAGGACCTACAACATCTGATATAAATAAATTATTAATGTTGAAACACATGTTAAGTCTGTGTCTACTGTAGACATTGAGATGAAAACTAGATAGAGAGAGTCTCTCTAATCAACCAGCACCTCTGGGGGCCAGTGGCTTTGAGGACACAAATGCAGGTGCTGATTGTCTTCTTCCCAGAAATAGAGACTTCATTTCACCTTATCCAGGGCCTTATCCAGGGCCTTATCCAGATTAGGCCCTGTGGAGGTAATTTCTGCCAATCGTGGGATTGGGAAGCTGTCTAAGCAATAATTAATCAAGGAGATTACGAGATTTGGGAAATGTCCAGGTGGTCCAGATTACCATTATTATATCTAAGAATTGTTATTTGTCACCTGTACATTCAAAAAGTGGAGTTCACATGGTTTAGGGCATAAGGCCATCATGGACAAACTACAGATATTTTATAATGTAGCCTCTCTTTTTAGACTTTTTATTTTGGAAATCATGGTCTGAAACCCTAGATTGGAAATTTAAAAGGCAAGATTCCAGTACCAGCTACCACTTCATCTGTGATCTTGGGAAAGAAAATCTCTGAACTGCTCTGTTCTTCATTTGACAGATAAAGTGTCATATTGTTACTGCATATGCTATAAGCTTGGGCGACTATAATGTATGGAAAACAGTAAAATATCTTAAGAAGAAAAGGTATAGGTAATGATTGATCTTATGAATTATATATTCTCAGCTTTTAACTATATTTCTGATTGATAGTCTATTTTTTCTCTTTTCCCTAATACTTAAGGTACATGGTTTCTACTGAGTTAAGTATGAAGCAAGTTAAGTAAGTTATGACTCTTAACTTATGCAACACTGTTCAAAGTACTAGTATAACATACCACTGCCTAGTTGATTGGTATACTGAAATGAACATTATTAATATGTGTTAGAATTCAGCACTGTGCAGAATTGTAGTTATAATTACGGCCCAGAAATAGTGATAAAAATCACACTTCCACAACGTTTTAAAAATTGATTTTGCTTCCCTTTTTAGGATTTGAAGTGTTAAACTCTTCACTCTGGCCATATGATTAGAAAGATATACTTCTACTGATTATTTTTATACTAGAATAATCTTTCATTATCCATTTAAGTCTTATCTCACATCAGTTCATCAGTGCTACCAATTAAAAATAGAAAATGCATGTGCTCAATTTCAAGAATTAAAAATAATGCCTTGGGAGTAGCATTTCTATTCTGTGGTGAGAGGATTGTTGGATTTTCCAATTAAAGAAGTCTCCATACTGGAAATGAGTAGTCAATTATGAAAATTATTTTTGAATAGCCAATTTGCATATCCCTAATTATATTCATTTCTTTTGAAAGGCTGAACTTGGAATTTATGATATTTTGATTGTTTAACCCTGCGCTTCTGTTATTAATACTATTGCCAACAAGATTCCCTTATGAATGGAGCTTTGAATGTCTTTCCTGATAAATGTTTAAATCAAAAATAGGTTTGTTTTATTGAATGAATTAAAAAAATATATAAAGATTTACTAGCAGTTTTCAAATTTACAAACACGGCCCTTGAAGGGATTGACAGTAGCCTCCCTAAGCTGCCTGCTGCGTGCATAGTCAGACTTGCCTGCATCAGCTGATGGGAGAAGCATGTGGTGGCCGTCCAGGAGAGAGGGGTCTGCTGGCCGGAACGCAGCTTCAGCAGCTCTGCCCTCACTGTTCACGCAGAAATTCCTGCATCATGAATGATTAAACATATATATATATTACCCTTATTTTAATGAAAAACTGGGAAATGGACAATTAAAAGTTTTTATATTAATGATAAGGATACATGTCATGTGAAATAAAATTGAGCTGAAGATGGGAATAATTAGGGGGAAAGTGCTGCTGTTCAGTCTCATTGGACTTAGCATTCTTTGGGCTTTCATTAGTCGACATATAGTCAATCACGAAGAAAGAGAAGGAAGTGAAGGAGGCAGGCACAAACTTAGGGTATCTGTGCATCAGGGGTACACACACAGATTGCATTCAAGGGTCTAATACACCTGTGTATGCATTTAGGTTGTGTCTGGAAGGACAGGTACAATTGGAGATTTCATAATGTATTTTTTCTGTCTGAGACTGGAATGTCCCCTTTTGTATATCTAACTTTCATTTTTGGAAGCCCTCTTAAAGAGATAATGGAATTCTGTTAGGCTTATTAGATAAGGTGGTAAGGGGAGAAGGCAGCCGCTTCATTCTTTTAACACAGTAAGCCAAAATTGGTCTCTATTTCAGGACAGATAAATGAACAAGCCATTTATTATATTCTGACCATGGTGCTTATAGACATAATATTGTTGAGAAATTAGTGGTGGTACAGTGACACTAAAGTTTTAAGTGTGAAGAGGCCATTTTCTTGAAAAGCCAAATAAAGATCACAGTCAGACCCAGTGTCCCTGTGATATGCATGTCCTACAAAGTAATTAGTGTTGTTGGATTTGTTTGTAGCTGATTGCGGTGTTTGAAGAGCAAGAACCACTCCACAAGATTGAGAGCCCCAGTGGAAATCCTACAGATCGGCAAAGCCCAGATGCTTTTGAAACAGAAGTGGCTGCCCAACTGGCTGCATTTAAACCAGTTGGTGGGGAAATTGAAGTGACGCCCTCTGCTCTGAAACTAGGTATGTGCTTTCTTAGTGGCATGCTTTTCTCCTGATTGAAAATACATCATTTTATTGAGTTTATGGTGCTTCTTCTTTATAACTTTTATCCTGTCAATTATTTTTTAGATGTGGTTGTCTTTTCCCTAAATTATTTTTGTACATAGCTCTTTGCAGCTGCTGGTACTCAGGTAACTGAAGGTAGTATTTTCTTGAACTGAAGGGGAATCTGAATTGCATGCCCTTGAAGTAACATAGAGGAAGTCAGACTGTAAATGATGAGGCTGGCCGGTATCATATGAAGATCACTTAAAAACAAAAAAAAGTTCTGGAAAAAAAAAGTCATTTGGAAAAAGCTAGGGGTTATCAAAGAATCCAGACTAGAAGGAAAGGTCACTTTCTTTTCTTATCCTCCCTCGTTTTTCTCCCTGACTACAGTGTATCTCAGAGTTTAGGGGAAAATATTTTGAAGTTGGTTTTGAAATTCTTTCCTGCTGATTTAGTCAAACAAGAACAATTCTTCTGGTGATTTTGTTTAGAATTCTTTTTCGTTATATTTGTTTTAAAATGTTTGTTGAAAGAGAAAGGAAACATTCTCCTAAAGTTTCCCTTAATTTACAAGTCCAAGAAAAATAACACATCAGTTTTGGTGATACCGCCTAGAAGCAAATTAAGGTCAGGTTAACAGCATGAAGTTTTTGAAAATCCACTAATATTTTGATACTTAGAACAAATGTTTTTTTTAAATTTATTAAATGCTTGCACAACATTTTGAGACTGGTCAAAACACCTCTGTTATAGGCTAACTCTCACTCTGCAAGACCAGAGATTTTTTTTTCCCCTACTCTGCAAAGAACGTTCTTTAAAGCAAAGCAGATGCTTAAAATGGTAAAAATTGTACGTAGTACCATTCTTCCCACTTGCAATCAAATAAATACTAAAAAAATCAATTTTTATATGCATTATACTGATTATTTATATTTTGTTCTGATTTTCTAAAAACCATTTGTAGTACCCCTTTTAAAATAAACCACACAGAAATTAGTGACCTGTGGTCTTCCTGGTTTTCCTTCTGTCTTTTGGAACCCAGCTAGTGGAGCATTCTGCGGGAACGTGGGTGTTGGAGGCCTCTGTGGCTGCTTCTCTTCATCAGGAGCCAGGCTTGTGGCTTCAGGACCCTTGCAGCCCCATCATTCATTTGCATAATGGATGCCTTTTTATCCATTATGCAAATGGCATGAGAGGAAAATTAGGCAATAAGGGAAGACGAAAGGAGAAAATTGCTCTTGCTTGTTTTAATATTCTATTTATAAGCAAGCACTGTGGTCTTGAAATGGCTGAAATTCAGAGTACCTGTGTGCCTGGGAATTTATCTTTACCTTTCTCTTATGGGCTTTGTCAAGGAGAAAGTTTGATTTCTTCAGATTTCTCATGATTTCTTTTTGGATCATCTTAGCAACATAATTATGCAAGATGAAAGACAAGCTGAGTTTCCTTCCTTCTTTGGAAGTAGACTTCTACTTCCTCAAAACTGACTTTTGCTAAGAGAGGTAGGAAATACTATTTCTTAAATGGTTGACTTTGTGCTAGGCACTGAGTTCAAGGCAGTGTACTAAATGATCTAAATCCTTTTCTCATAATGACTCATTTAAAACCCTCAGAGTTGGGCTTTATTATTTTCTTAAGAGTTGAGGAATGAGCACATCCTCATCCAAAATCACACAGAAATTAAGCGAGAGAACCAGAATTTGAACCCTTGGTGGTGCCAGTGTCAGGAACCATTTTGCTATCTTGCTTCTGATATGCTATTCATAAAATAAAAAATCCATATGAATTTTGGGGGGGTTACTTTGTGAATCTATGCCAAAGCCCTGAACACATTAAACTTCTTGGCCCATGATCCCATTTCACTTAGTGACGTAGATTACATGATCTAACTAGCTCCCTTTTGGTTGGTAAATGTTGCTTTCCAGCCATTCGGCCTAAAATGTTGGCATCCGTTTTCTTCTACCTCCCGCACTTCTTCAGCTCTTAGGCTCCCAGCTTCAGTCCAGAGCTTCGGCATCAATCAGACGGTTTGCAGAGGCCTCAGACTGACCTCTCCCTCTACGGTGCCTGCTTTCCCCAATGCCTGCTATTACCAGAGCTGCCTTTCTAAATAACAAATCTGATTATATAACTTTCCTGCTTAACAGCCTTTAGTAGCTCCCCATTACCCCGAGAACCATGCCCAAACTTGTTAGCAAGCTGATGCAGACGGCTCCTCTGAATTAGCAGGAGGAATCTGGGCAGGGATGGATGATGGAAAGATCATCCCCTACCCACTTCCATGGTTCTAACAGATTGAGTACTTTTCATTCCTGGAATGAAAAGCAAAGAAAAAAACCCTGTTTTTCATGCTTTTCAGATAGAGGAGTTAGAGAAGGAATCAATATAGCCAGCTTAAGTCTCTGCCCACTCTATCTTCCTGTTGCTGGCCCCAGGACAGGATGTGCTCATGGACAGAGAACCTCAGGATGGAAGGATCTGGTTGGCCATGGATGCAGTGTTCCTGGGTCTTCTGGGAGTGTGGCCTGGGTCTGCTGGCAGGCCCACCCTGAGGTCCTGCTTAGATGAATAATGAGCAGAGGTGGTCAGAGACGGAGTAGCACTTGTGTTCCAACAATTCATCATAACGGGGTGCTCATAGAAAGCCAGCCACTGAGCCCCAGCCTCCCCCTCCATTCCCCACACAGCTCCTCTGGACCATCAGAGCTAGTTCTGTTTCTCATGGGGCTTATTCACCCAGCCTGGCACTGCAGAAGTAGGGCTTCTTACGACTTCCCTGATTTTCTTACCCTGAATGCCCATTCAAGAAAATGAGGAATTTAGACCCCTTTGGTCACATGCTGTTCTGTTTTAGTTTTCTATTTTTGTAATTTTTTTGTAATTTTTTTTTTTTTTTTTTTTTT